CAGTTGCGCGGCTTGCGGGGCCCTAAAACTCCCCCGCAAGCGTCAGTTTTGTGTGAAGGCTGGTAGGAACTGCGTTTCTGCTCCGTTGCCCAGTTGCCTAGAAAGTGGGTCGCGGCCTGCTTGGTGTTTCTGTTTGGCCCTCTCTGACCTCATTTTCTCTCTGTGGCCCTGCTGGCAATGACAGCGTCATGGCCTGTTTTCTGTTCGCGCTGGAAACTTGCCGGCAAAGTGACTCCACTAGTTTCTAGTGAAAAGCAGGCCCTTGCTTCTTGCTCTCCCTGTCAGGCGTGCGCTGCGCAGCAGCGTTGGCCTGCCTGCGCTCGGTGCGTGCCAACAGGCCTGCTTTCCAAAGAGATCTTTCTCACCGTTTCCTTCTTACCTACTGGGAGATGAGAGGGCAGAAACTGAGCACCTTGCCGAGAGCAGTGCTGGGGCCTCCGGAGTCACTGTCTACCAAGGAAAATAGCCTCCCACACACTTCTGATAGTTTGTGCTTTTCTGGGAAAAAGAACCCAAACCCTGTATTTATAAACAATCTCACAAATCAACCAGACACAATTTAGTCGTATGAACATGGGTGCCTAATGCTATTTAAGATGCTGTAAGATATCCAAGTTATGTATATGGGGCTAAAAATTATCCTACATAATTACGAAAATAATTATAAAAATTGTTCGTGGAGGAAACCTGTCTATACTGGCAGCTGGAGGCTATGCTGACAACCTGCATGGCTGTAGGCACACATGTTTAGACAAGTGAATTGAGCTTCCAGTGTCATCGCAGGAGCTGTGGGGTCTGGGTCCTGCTGGGTCTCTGGCTGCTGCTCTAGGAGGCTGTGAGTCTCCTCAAATCCTGACGACCTCTCGGGTACCTTAGGGCACCTCAGTAGGCGCTAGGCCCATTTGCCAGGCAGCTGAATCCTGCCCCTAGGTCACAGGTGGACGTCTGCGTGTAGGCACCTGAGTGTAGAGGTCCTAGTCTTTAACTGCATCACGTCCTTGGTGTTCCCAATATTCAGGAATTTTTTTAACTGCCCGGCATGTACAGAGGGAAAG